CGCTTTCAGAAAGCGCCCAAATCCGGGCTCTTTTGTTTTTTTGAAAGTTGGTTGTCAAGGGGTGGGGAAGGGGAGTAAATGGATTTTAAAGGGGCTAAAGGGGTTTAAATGGGGGTGCCTTAGTGTGACTTGTTTTTTTTGTTTTTTATCTCGAGTTTTGTGAGGAATTTTGATGTGACCCTCAACCAAAAGTTGTTTGTATTGCAATTCTACACAATATATTTTTTTTTCCAGATTTTTTTGGAATTTTGTTTTTTGCGTTTGGGATACCCAGGCCCATGCCCAGCAGTCATGTCTCGCTGGTCACCCGGTCGCCAAGCCGGGCGTGATGTCGGAACTCGGACACCCGAGATATCTCCCTAGGTTCTTAGTGTTTTTTTTTATTTTAATTTTCTTTTCTTTTGCCTTTTTTTTTTATAATGTTTTAACTATGAGCTTGAATTGTTAGTTTTCAAAATTTTCCACCATGTGCTTGTGGCAATGTGTCCAAAAACACCGAATTTTTGGTCTTCCATTAACCATCTCTCGCTCCCTTCTTTGGTTGTCCTGATTTTCAGCTCTGTTCTTGGTGTACTCCTCCTTATGAAAAAAAAAACTATGCAATTTCTGCACCAAGGAGTCCAGGAGGACTTGAGTGTACGTCATTATCCGTTCTCACCCAAATTATGTCGAACATCCTCTATCTAAATTGCGGATCGACATTTTACATTTGATCTCCATCAATTCATGCATGAAACGATCCCTTATTGCCTTGTAGTGTCTCCTGACTGTACACACCACTCTTCTGATTGCATCTTTTGTATATATTATTGCATCCAAAGAGACCTGTAATACCATCACCCAAAAAGTATTATGCAACTCTACTCTTTTTAACTTCCTCCATTATATTCTTGCCATCCAAGCTCTAGACCTTATAGTATATGAAATGTCAAAGAGTTGTACCTCATCGTCCCTTTGATCAATTAACAAGGTGACCACTGTTCTATCCCTTGCCACATAGGTTAAAACATTAGGTCCCTCAAATCGAATATTACCTTGTTGCGTTGGATACACAAATGGTTAAACCACCAGTATTTGGCCTTGCTATCAATGTCGAGCCTAAATATGTGCCCTGCACGGTTTTTCGCGCCGACCTGCCAGCGAAAAAAAAAAAAAATGTTTTGGCTGGCGGCGTCAGCCTTTCAGGTCGGGTACCTCGGGCCTCCTAAACTTGGGGGGCGTTAACAACAACGCCCCGCGACCGACATAAAGGCCAAGTACTGGTGGTTTAAAGGTGATCCCCATTTTCAGCTCCTGACTAACGGGTCCAAAACTGAAATTAGGGGTTGGGGGTCCAATGTTATGTTTTTTTTTTTTTTTGCCTGTTTTTCTGTTGGTATCATTGGGGCCATTGGAATTTCCTTTGATGAGATTTCTGAAATTTGTCCAGGTTTATGAAATTGGAATGTTGGCGAAATTTCATAAAAGTGCACTTTTGCCTTTGCTGTTTTTATGTTTTAAAACCGTTTTTTTTTTTTTTGTAAGTAGTTAGTACAATTTCCACTCTATGAATTGGTGGCAAATTTGTTAAAAATAATCCTTGGGTTTTCCTATAAATGGCATGAGATCCAGCCAACGAACTCAGTTGGTAAGGCACACAAGTGGCATTCAAGAGGCCTTGGGTTCAATCCCAATTGGCCTCATGTACCTTCCTAGGCATGCTTGGCGCCCGCCACCTAGAGATAGCCTGTTGGTCCCCCCAATTGACATAAAAAAGCAATCTCTGCTGATGTTCATAGGGGGAGGGGTAATCGGGGAGGCAAAGCGATTGGCCACTCAGATGATGCTCAATCCCTCTGCTACCCTGGCCGGTGTCCCCCCCCCATTGGGGGTTCCCTGAAGGCAATAAATAAAGGCCACCCTGGGCTAAAAAAAAGGCCACCCGGTGTCAGATTAGACACCAGATCGAATTTACTTGGGCTGGTTAGTCCGATGATAATACCTCAGGGCCATTGCCCTTTAAACCACCAGTACTTGCCCCAGCTATCGATGCCGAGGTTGGAATGCCCCTGCGTGCCAATTTTTGCCGAAACCTTGGGGTACCATTTCAATTTTTTTTGTCTGGCGCTTCCAGCCGTTGTGGTACGGTACCCCGAAGCCCTAAAGGTGTGGCACGACCCGTTTCAATTTTTTTTGGCTGGCGCTTCCAGCCATTGTGGTCCGGTACCTCGAAGCCCTAAAGGCGCGGTGCAACCTATAGCTGGGCCAAGTATCGGTGGTTTAGTTAAAAAAATAAATAAATGGCATCAGAAGTTGTCTGAAAATTGAGGCCTCGTCCCCGGCCTCTGGGGCGAGGTCCCACTAGCAAAGAGGATCGGATCGAATTCCTGAATCTGGACGTGTTTTATGCAGAGATGCAGAAAAGCAATTCAATCTTGATTTCCTGCACCTCTCTACAAACTCATCCAGATTCAGGCATTCTATCCGATCCTCTATGCTAGTGGGACCACACCCCTGATGAAATTTTGGAATGGATTTGAATTTGAAAAAAAATAAAAATAAAATTGAGGCATCGGAGTAGTGCAGCGAGGCCTCGTTCGACACCACTAGAAAACCCTTACATATAAGGGTTTCATCGTTCCACCCCTCCCTAATGACAAAAAAAAAGATGCCAAATCTGTTTTCACATTCGCGGCCGTAAGGGCGAGCCCTACAAAAGTAAGGACTCCCCAGCCAAAACGGACGCAAATGTAAGGACGGCCGTGGAGGTGACTTGAAAGTAGGGGTGGCGCCCTTACTTCCACGGAAAAAAACGCTTTATTTTTTTTTTTACTTTTTCGTCAGGTGTTTCCTTCGCGTTCCTGGTCCAATGGCTGGGTTGTCCGGTACACCGCGGGACGGTGGTCCCACGGTAGCCTCCAACGGGTAGTGTGGTCGCCCGGCTGCGGTCCTGCGGTCCCTGTGGTTAGCCGTTTCGGCTTGCATGTGGACGCTCCCCGCGGAGGCAGGCGTGCGAGTGCCGTTGGACAACAGGAAAGGAGCGTCCGATACACCGGACGACGTGCAGACGTCTGCCAACGCCTGGGCTATGGCGGCCTCCCTCCTCCCCCTACCCCTCCCAGCCGCCCGCCGCAATCCGTTCACCGTCTCAATGTACCGGCACACCGCGAGGACAGCACTCGACCATGCTCTTCTCAGTGGTTGACAATCTCCTTGACGCCGCCTCATCGCACCCACCGCTGTCCATAGCTGGACTGCGCTGCGTAAACAAGGCACATGGCAGTCACGTGAAGCCACGTGCGCTGGCGTAATGGTGGATGAGTGCCCGCGACAGGGCCATGCCCGCCTTGGAGAAATGGCTGGCCCGGGTCTCCCACGGGCCCAAAGGTGGCGGACACGATTTCGTCTGCCGCAACACTGGGGCGGACACTCGCATTCTCTTCTCTGCCGCGTTAAACGGGGGCACCTGAAATGTAAGTGCGAGTGCGACAAAGTGTAGGGTTTTCGTAAGTGGTTGTGGAACGCATTTTCGTAGTTAGGGCGCCCTTACAAAGTAAGGTTTTGTAGTGGTGTGGAACGAGGCCCTAAGTTGGAGCCATAGGACCAGCGGGCTCCAAGGTGGGCTTATCACCTCGGAAACTGGGAATTGTTTTTTGTCGTCTTTTTTGGTGTATCGCCTCCGAAATAGGTGGCCGCGATCTGATGATTGAAGGGAGACACAAAGGAAGGAACGGCGAGTGTATGCCACAGCATGAGAAGGAACTTGCTGCTAGAAACATGGCCAGATGCACCCGCCACGTTTTTGTCTTTTTCACATTCCGAGAGTGGTGTGCGAGGCCCTATACATCCAGGGGAAGATCGACTGGCCACGGTTTTTCACGATTGGCGGGCAGTGGACCGAGACACTACTCGTGTACGTGGATGGCCGATGTGGAGCGGGAAGGGACGTCGCTCCACGACTCTGCAAATGTGAAAAATGCGAATGAAGCTTCCGCTAGAACATGGAACTATACACCACCATATTTTTTGTCTTTTATGCATGTGGAGAGTAGTGGAGCGGCAAACTCTCCTCCTTCAGACCAAAGAACTGAAAAGGAAGGAGAACAGCAGAAAGAAGAAGCCGAAAAGGAAGAGCAATCAACACGTTGATTGATAGTTGAGGGCTTATGCACACCAACTCTACTATTATCTATCGTATATGTATCTGGCAGTTATGGCCGGAGCAGGATCTCTGTGACCCCAATGGAGCCCCTAAACAAGCAAAAATGTCCTTCATGTCAGTGTGCCGTGAGTCATCTCGAGAGGATACGAATATGATTGAAATCTTTGAAATCTTTTCGTTTTTTTTTTTTTTTTTTTTTTTTTTGCGCTGCCTACAGTAGGCGGGCGCGGAAGGGTTGCGTCCCCGAAAAAGAAAAAAGAAATAAGGGTTGCGTCGGCTGTCCTGACGATCCTCTCGTCTGCATTGCGGTTGCGGTAGTGCCTGTGCTTTGTGACGCAGCCCTCTGTATAAACGATAGGGCATCGTTGCACTACTCGCCATCCGCCAACATTTTGATTGCATGTGGACATCCTTTTTGTCCACATGCATTCGAGTTCTTGGCGGATGGCGAGTAGTGCAACTAGGGCCTCGGCGCAGTACTCGGTTGGTGAGTGTTTGCGGCGAAGAAGCCCATACGCATACGAGGACTTTTTTTTCGGCTGGGTGTATTTGACCACATCGGCGGCTAGGCGTGGATGCACCTGGCCTCGATGGCGTCCACGGGTGAAGCTGAAAAAGTCCTACCGGTAGTGAAAGTATGCACTTGGTCCTCCAATGTGCAAGCCGTGCAGAGTCCCACCCACGTTGGGCCCTCCATTGATTTGATTGATCCTCCTCAGATCCACGGCCTTCGAGGCGATTGATTCCGGCAATCAACGGTCGCAGCTGTGGGTTCGCACAATCAATGGCCAGGGAACAGTGGCCTTGTTGAGCTGAGCTGCAAGCAAACGTTTCCCATTACTATTCACGACTCGTGATAGTGACGCCAAAAAGTCCAAAAGAAGCGTGTTGTTCTGATTGTGATGTGAGGGTGGATGAGAGCAGCAGAGATTGCGGGCATCGAGGCGGGCAGGCGGGACTTGTTGGGCTACATAATTTGAGTCTTGTCTCTGCCGCCATCGTTGCCCGGGGCTAGGTCCCACTTACACGAATTAAGCGATGTTGATTGACCGTAGATAGCACAGATCGACGGCCAGAAGTTCTTAATCAGGGCAAGTGGGACCTTGGCCCCGAGGGGTAGGGCCGGAGTGCCGGAGTGCAGGAGTGCGGGAGTGCGAGAGGGGGAGAGGGAGGAGGAGGAGAACGTGCAGCAGGGCCTGTGGTTGAAGAAGACGGGCGGGAGAGGAGAAAAAATTAGCGCCAGGACAAGGCTATTATTTAGACGGTCGGTGTCGGCGTTTTCGAGATTTACGAGGTGCGGCAGGGTACGGAGTCGAATGGTGTGCATGTGCGGTGTGTTGTTTTAACATTTTGTAAGAACGAAAGAGAGCGCGGCAGGTACACTCCCAGAGGAGGAGGAGGAGGAGGAGATCGCAGGAACAGAGGCGTGGTCGGGATATATATATATATATTTTGTTCTTTTCTTTTTTTTTGGTGAAATTCTCAGTGCTAGACATGGCTATGGCCACGATGCAGGCGCTGCGACGGGCCACGTCATCTTTGCTGAGGGGGAGCGCATCGCGGGTTGGCTTTCCTGCATCCACCCGGCTGTTTCATGAGGTGAATTGTTTGCCTCTCTCTCTCTCTCTCTCTCTCTCTCTCTCTCTCTCTCTCTCTCTCTCTCTCTCTCTCTCTGTGTCTGTGTGTGTGTGTGTGTGTGCGTCTCTCTCTTTTTTCATTCCTGGACCGTCGAGAATTGTCCCTCCATAGGCCCGTATGCTCTTCTCGGCCCTTGCCTCTCCCATCTCTCTCTTTTTTTTTCTTTTTCTTTTCTCGTCATCATCTGTAATGAAGTGGACGGTCATGTGAAATTTTTGCACGTGGATGACACATGGGTCTCGAGATCGTCGTTGTAGTACTGTTGTGTGACACGTGTCATACGCCGATGACGTAGGATGGACATCCACGTGTCATCCACGTGGCTCAATGACACGTCATGCTTGCCATGATCTCAATATGTTGTGTTGATGCACAGACATCCAATTCATCCTGTCATGAGTGTCTACGCCATATCTGTTTCGTTAGGGAGATTCATCTCAGCTCATTGACTAGTAATTGTGCAAGCTAAAGGGGCGACTGGTTTCACTCAACTTTGTTAGCTGAAGGGGGCGTAATTCTGCCCAATTCCAGCTCTCGTCAATTGGCTCACGTACAGTATTATGTAGTGCAGGCTGCAATTGCGCAGAGTTACGCCCGTTCAGCTTGCAATTGCGCAGAATTACGCCCCTTCAGCTCGCGATTAGGCAGAATTAGGCACCTTCAGCTTGTAAAGTAATCAGTAGAGGCCCACACAGCTTTGATAATTGGCAGACAGAATTACGGACCTTCAGCTCGCAATTAGGCAGAATTAGGCACCTTCAGCGTGTACAGTAATCAGTAGAGGCCCACACAGCTTTGATAATTGGCAGACACTGTGATGACTCTGTAATCTTGTAGTCACGCGATGAGCCTGTATAGTACTGGCTGTGGGATTGCATTTCATGGCTAAGGGACTGGATAGACGATGGGCTTACATAGTATGGGCCTGTGTAGTCATGGCTATGGGCCTATGCGGTCATGGTGCGCGCTCAGGTAGTTACGTTTTATATGACTGTGGACCCTACGTAGTAATTGGACCCACGTAGTGAGATGATCTAATATAGTCAGTCTGTGAGCCTGTATAGTCGTCGCTATGGGATTTCCATAGTTGTGGCTATGGGATTTCCATAGTCATGGCTATGGGATTTCCATAGTCATCGCTTTGGACTTGCGTAGTTATGGCTATGGGACTATAGAGTTCCATGGCTATAGAACTCCGTAGACATGGCTATGTGACTGGATAGACTATTTGCCGACACAGACTAGGGACCTGTGTAGTCGTGGCAATGAGACTAGATAGTCACGACTGTGCACTCACGTACATACGTATGTTGTTCATTCGTGTTTTTTTTTTTTTTTGTCATTCGTGTGCTCGTGTGGGCCTATGTAGCATTTGCGAATTACTGTATGTTATAGTGAGGTGGGCGGTCGGCGTAATCATTACGCCTATAATCTTGCAACAGCTGGAGTTAGCCGAGTCCAGCTATTGCCGAGTAAAGGGCTTGTATAGTCATGGTTGTGGGCTCATGCAGTTATGACTATGGGTTCGTATAGCCTGGACTTAGCCGAGTGGTGGTGTCATGCTATAGAATGGTCCAGCTCTAATCGGTGAAGCAGCTTTTATATGTAGATATTATGTCTATATATTGTCACAAGAGTGTCAGGACGCAAATGCGAACAAAAAGGGAAAAAAAAAAAGAAAAACAGGAAAAAATGCATTCACATATATCGATATAAAGAACTGTCCGGTGAACCGTGGGCAGCGGGGGCGTCGTTAAGAGGATTTCCTTCCTCTCTCCCCCTTCTCATTCTCTCCCCGTTCTCTATTTACACCCCCCCCCCCCCCTTCCTCCCCCGTGCTGATTGTGAAAATTCTGGTGTTGCGGACTCTTCTCAAGGTGTCTCATAGTGCCTGTCGCTCATGACTCTCAGCAGCATTGGCTTGTCCCCCGTCGTCTTTCGCGGCCTCTTTAATGTTATTGCTAGCTGCCGCCGCCATCACCGCCGTCGCTGCCATCACATACCATCGCTGCCATCGCTGTTATCGCCACCATCGCTCTCATCATCATCATCATCATCATCATCGCTGTCATCATCATCATCGCTGTCATTACCCCACCATCGTTGTGATCACCACCATCGCTGTCATCACCGCCATCGCTGTCATCGTCATCACCATTGTTGTTATCGATTCAAAGGATGGAAGGATGGTTTGTTTTGATCTAAACAGATCATCATTGAATGTACGCCCTTGCTGTCATCGTACGGTTATGATCCATCAGCACTGTTTATGATGATGTCCACCGTCTCTCTCTATGGTGGTCGCACCGCTTGGTGTGGTTGCGCAATGGCTAATCCACGTGTCAATCATTGAACGTACGGTCTTGCTGGTGAAGGTAAGGTCAAGTTTTTCCCGGTAAAAAAAAAAAAAGTGTATCCACGTCAATCCTCGGTCGGGGCACGCTTGGCTCCGCGCTGCGAATCCACGTGTCAATCCCTGAGTCACATTTTGCAGTGTAAATCCACGTGTCAGTCCCAGGGTCACGTGTCAAGAAAGAAGTTGAAATCCACGTGTCAATCCTTGGTTGACCTATCGCGACACGTGTCGATCATTTGGACATATTGCTCATCATGGCTTTGTGGCTTTCTAATTGGATTTTTTTTCCGTTCTAATTGGATTTTTCGTGTTGGTAGTAGTTGTCCTTTCTGTTTCTTTTTTTGGAGACGACTACCGTTTTCCCGCGAGTAGAACGCACGGTCGTTATCGCTGCATGTCGTTATCGCTGCATGTAGATTGAGAATTTTGAAAATTGTCCCAAATATAGCTATAGCCCATAATAATCGTGATTTGTAGTCGGGGGACTACGGCAGTTTATGGCTGATGGCATGATTTCGAGACTAAGGGAGGGAGTCCCTTCTAGCAAAGAGACGCCTGAATTTGGACGCAATCGTGGAGAGGTGCAGAAAGAAAATTGAGATTGATCTGGTGCTCTGTATGTCTGCATGAAACACATCCAGATTCAGGCTCTTAATCCTATCCCTTTGCGGGGAGTGATAACGTGGGCCTTTGCTTAATCCTCCCAGGATGCCGGGGGTGAAAATATGGGCCTTTGCTTAACCCATAAATCGGGGACACCCCTCTGCGGATTTCTGACAGTCTGTCAATCATGAATGACTTTAAGTAATCGGGCTCAGGCAGGCCTCGGGGAATTTGAAGCTATGGCAGCGCTCAGTTTCCAAGGGCGGGGTCCACGCTCAACCAGCGCGTGGTCCAAGTCGGAGCACTGGGAGGTTCCCTCTTGGAATCAACCATTGTTCCATCTTGGAATCAGAACCCGAGCACACACACACACACACCTGTCTCTTATACACATCTAGATGTGTATAAGAGACAGGATAAATGTTCGTTAAATCGTTAGTTTAATGAAAGCACTTTGAACTTTGATTTCCAAACGTCGGATAACTATTGTGCAGTGTAAACCCGATCCACAGAAATGTCTGCAAACTTGCTTCAAGTTCTCACATGGGGAGTAAGGAAGGGGAGCGGGGTGGGAAGGGAGGGAGCGAGGGTCAGATTATGCCAACCAATTAACATTTTTTTTTCGGTGGCTACCGCTAACGAGGAGTCGTCGGAGGAGGTGCTGCAACAATACTGTGGATGAACCCTGGTTGACAAAAGGTGGTGTGGCAGCATATGGTTTTTACATCTGACTGGGCCAAGAAAGGAAAAAACTGATATGTTCTACAAAATTGCAATCCAAACATCTTTTGCCTTAAAGTCGTATCCAAATTCATAGCCAACACTGAGTTAAAAAAACATATTTAAATTCATAACAAAAACCGAGGTAAAAAGTGTAACAACAAAATTAACCTTACTTCAACTATCACCTCTTATTTCATAGCATCAATAAACTATCTCGTATATTTTCAGATATTTGTCTTTAGTAGTACCCTCTGTGAGACATTTTGCCTCGCTAAACTTCGATAGTTATGGATCGCTGATTTTATTTTTTGTTGCTTCCCTACATATTGATTCTCTCCCCCTTCCCTTTATTTCCTCGTATTTGATAAACTATCTCATATATTCCCTTGCTAAACTTCAATAGTTATGAATCACTAATTTTGTTTTTTACCACTCCCCTACATGTTGATGCTCTTCCTCTCCCCTTTATTTCCCAGTATTAATGGACTATCTTATATATTGCCCTGCTAAACTTCAATAGTTATGAATCACCGATTTTGTTTTTTACTGCTCCCCTACACGTTGATGTTTTTCCCCTCCTCTTTATTTCCTAGTATTTATAAACTATCTCATATATTGTCCTGCTAAACATCAATAGTTATGACTCGCTTATTTTTTATTTTACTTCTCTCCTACATGTTGATGCTCTTCCCCTTCCCTTTATTTCCTAGTATTAATAAAATATCTCATACGTATTTATACATTTGTCGTCAGTACCCTTTGTGAGATATTTTGCCCTGCTAAACTTTAATAGTTATGGATCACTGATTTTGTTTTTCACTGCTCCCCTACATGTTAACGCTCGTCGCTCGATTGATAGGAGTTGCACCATCTACTTGTAACTCTCTTTCTAGCCTGGCCAACTCTACTCAGAGCACTAAGTTGGAATGTGTAAAAGATAGAGGGATTTTCCTTTTGATGTGCGTCGTGTACTTCACGTCCTTTGCTTCATGACAGCGTGACGTGGAAAATCCGACCACTTGCCCCTTAGATTTTTATTTTTATTTTTTGCCTTTTTTTATTGATTCTAGGGGTAACTTTGGCGCAGTCACGAAAACAGTTTGTAATTGCATTTGAAACTGCGTTTTAGCAGTTTAGTCAGGGTCCGGGTTTCAGTTGCAGTTGAAACTCGGGCTGCCTTTCCGTAGCAGTTCAGTCGGGGTCCTCGTCTATCCACGAACAGCAGATAAAAAAAAAAAAAAACATCCGTTATGTTGTGATTGCGGTCCGATACAGGATGCTTCAGTACTTGTCTGAAACTCAATGAGCGTGGAATCCGCCTTGCCTAGCTGGCAGGGCACTATAGGGACCTCACAACAAAAAACAAAAAAGGAAAACGACATGTTCACTTCCTGGCCAGATACATTCGTCAGGTGGATTCAAAGTTCCTCATTTCTTTACTTTTTTATTAACCGAAGTTTTAAGCGCAACCAGTATCTAAGGCAAGCAGTCATCACAAATAGATGAGATGAATATGATCATCCACTAGGCAAGCATTGCTTGATTTTGTTTCTATAGGTCCAACAATTTGAAGCCTCCTTTCCTTATTGGATAACAAATGTTTTCTCGCATGACTTTTGAGATGAAGCCACATTCTACCTCACAAAACGGTTTCCAAATAAACTTTGCATCAACCCTTGTTACCGCCTTCGGTAGTTCTTATGAAAGCAGCCTCAACCGCCGAACAGAGATAAGTGGGGGAGCGGACCCACCTGAAGATACTTTTAATTACCTCTTATTGAAATATATTTCTTTGAAAGTCCCCTGCAGTTCTTACGCACCATTTGTATTCCTATGTACCCTTTGGAATGATTTTGTGTCACTCTCTTCATTCTAAGCTTTTAGACTTCCATCATGGCATAACACGGCGCAGACCGTAAGTGAAGATTCTGTATTGGTTATGATTGCGAATAGGTCATGGCATAACATTGCGCAAGTCGTAAGTGAAGATTGTGTATTGGTTATGATTACGAATAAGTCATCGGCCAATGCTTTCACCTTTCATATTTTGTTTTGAACTTGCATACATTTAATATTGAGACATGATCTAATATTGCAAACTAGAGCCTTGAACCATTAGTACCTTTGCCATGTGGGAAAATAGCAGGCCTCGGGTGGGTCTCCAACCTTTCGAAGGTTGAAACGAAACGACGGTCGCCGATCAGATTTATCAATGGCAGTCATCGTCTGGCCCGACCTCCGAATTTTTAGGAGTTTGTGAGTTTTCTTTATTTTTAATATTTTTTCAATGCTGGCGGAGGTACTAGTGGTTTAAGTTGCAACACGAAAAACAAAGGAGTAAGGGGGAAACCCTATCTCAACGATCTCCTGACTACTCTTTTACGAAACTTTGGGTCACAGGATAAGTAAAGAGTTACCACGCTGATTTTTTCTGAATCGTTAGTAAGAGGGGGTCTGGGGGGACTGCAGGAAGCAAGGGTGAGGGCATGTCCATCAGGCAGCAGGCAGAGGGATGAATCTTTTAAGACAGTGGCAGGAGGAACCCTAGTACAAGAGCTCAGAATAGATCCCAATCAGTGGGGTTGGAAAGTAGGAAGTGAAGTGGTAATAGACCTCTGCAACCTGAGCCCAGCGCTAGTCATCAGAAGAAGAGCGGGTAGGAGAAAGTTGATGGACAAGTTGATCCCTCGCTGGGAAAAGGCGCAACCTTGCATACTTGCACCTACGGGAATGCAGCTTACGCGCCTGTGGAAGCAGTTAGCGGACATACCGTCACAAAAGGTAGCATCCCTGCTATGGTTACAGTCTCACTTGTCAGTCCCAACGGCGAACTGGCTAAGGAAAAGAGGAATGCAAGTAAAAATGGACTGTGACAGATGTGCGTGGCCCATTGAGACAATGCCTCACATGTGGTGGGACTGCGCCCGCTCGAGGAAGTGGTGGTTATGGTGGTTCATACACTGGGAGAAGATGTCAGGGAGTAAAGGGGAACAGGACGTGGCGTGGGTCCTACAAGGCTTTCTGAGCCAAGGGGGGAGGGGAGACAAGGGTAGGGGGTATATTGCCCAGGTCAGTCGGGCGGCGATGATGTGGGTCATCTGGCTGGACAGAAACGGCAGAAGATTTCAAAATCAAGGACTGTCGGAAATGCAGGCAGAGAAACTGTTCAAATCGATGCTGAAAACGAAAATCAGAGTGGATTGGAGAAAGAGAGTGGTTCAGGGGAGCAAACCGGCAGGTCTGAGGTGGTTCTATGAGACCTGGGCAGCACCAGGAGCTCTGGCAGAGGTAAGAGAAGGGAAGATGAAAACGGCTCCTTGGCTTGATAGATAAACCAAGTGGGGAGGAGAGGTAACACAGGGGTCCCAGTAGTAAGGAGGTGGTGGGGTAATGGTAGGTAGGTAAGGGAGAAGGGGAGATTTAAGTAGGATCACTGGAGTCAGACAAATTGGCTTCGGTTCGTAGGTGACGGGGATAACAGTTAGGCGGGTAATAGTAGGAGTAGCAGCCTGGGCACTCGGCTGCGATAAAACGGTTCGGTCGCAGTAGACACAGTGGATCTGGGAGTGCTAGTTAACGAGGAACTTGGTTCCATCGACCGAGATAGGTGGAGGATTGGCCGGGTTAGGCCAATCGTAGTTAGACCAGGGGTTAGGGTTTATGGTGCAATAGGGGGTTAGTGAGATTAGGTAGGCAGGGAAGAAATAGGTTAGGACTGAGGGATTAAGAAGGAATTCATGATAAGTACAAGTTTTATGCACGTGTTCAAGAAGTTGGTACATGATTGGATGAGGATAAGCTAAATCGGCTGATGCTGCCGGGATAACTCCGGGTGGAATTGTGAGGTCCCCGGCCTCAGCTCATTGATTGATAAGAATAAATAATTTGTTGTTAAAAAAGAAAAAAAAAAGAAAAAAGAATTGGGCCTCGCTCCAATACCGTCAACTTTCACAAAAAACGAAAATCATGGCGGTGTATCCTTCCATGTTGTAGAGGAAGATTCATCGGCCAATTGGCCATAGCGGCGGATGTCGTTGTCCGTTCGTTAATTGCAGCCTTCCACCTCTCGGCACCTCCGCTACCTGTTTCCCGAACAGAGATGGGGCCTCTCTCCCACACTCTCCAAAGGTGCAAAACGAGACAGCTAGAAAATGAAAACATACGTCGCCATTTTTTTTTTTTTTTTTTTTTTTTTTTTTTTTTTTTTTTTTTTTNCTCTCCTCCTCTTCCTCTTAACAATGTTGTTTTTACTTCTCTCCCTCTTCACCTCTTCAAGGTCTATTTCTTTTCTTCTTCTTCTTCTTCTTCTTCTTCTTCTTCTTCTTCTTGTTCTTGTTCTTGTTCTTCCTCCTTTGAACAACGTCTGTTCTTATAACTCCCTTGACGTCTGTTCTTATAACTCCCTTCTGTCAAGTAAGTCCTTCCACTCCTATGTATTTAATGCCGGGCATTGCTAAGCTATGTATTTAATGCCGGGCATTGCTAAGATGCCAGGATTATTGTTATCCTCCTCTACATCGCGTACGGACTGGGCTGCAGTCTTTGTTTCCTTCTGTCTCCTCTGTTCGGATTCCTTGCTCTTTGTTTCCTCTTTTTTTCTACCCGGTGTTTTGTTTGCCTTTGTTCTTTACTGTTTGTCTCTGGAACCTCACTGTCTGTCTCTGGAGGCTCACTGTTTGTCTATGTTTGCCAGTTGTTGGGGTTAACTTTGTCTCTGGAGCCTCACTGCTTGTTGATTGCTCACGTTGTCTCTTGTTGAATTTGCGTGTGGTCCCCCCACCAGAGCTCCCAGGCTATGGCCGCTGCTCTCCCAGAGGTGTCGGTGGAGCCGTTCGTCGTAGACATTCCCGTGCCATTTAAGGCTCACAGGATAGAGCCTCCATCGCAGCAGATCGAGACTAGTGCAGGTGAGCACTTTGACAAGTCTTCCATCCTGTTCCAATGTTCCTCCCAAACCGTGGATTCAGTCTGTCACTGAGTCTTTTTTTTTAATGCTACCGTTTACCGTCCTTGCACCTCTCTCTCTCTCTCTCTCTCTCGTTCTTGCATGTGGTCTGTCCGTTGACATGGCTGGTGATTGGTTGGTGGAGTTTCCTAAACAAGGAAGGGAAAATCTGCTGGATGAATTCCCTAGACGTGTCCTGGGAGATAACCGCTAAAATTGGAATGATGCAAAGAAAAAAAGCATGGCCTAAATTTGGCAAATAAAAAAAGAAAAGAAAACTCTTTGAAGGGAGAAGCCCCCTACAAGTATTCTGGGGGACATCCGTTAAAATTCAAAGGGTGCAAGGTAAAAACATGTGTTGTGGAAAAGCGAGGATGACATGCATAATTCAAGAGAGGATCCAAATTTGGCCAAAAAAAAAAAAAGAACTGTTTGAAGTGAGCAGCCTATGTACTTGAACGGGACACATGTGAATGTTGGTAAGCCGACCATGAGTTTGTGCTTCGCCGCCAGGCGGCGGCCCTTCGGCCTTACATGAAAAATGTGCTTAGGCGGTGAGTATACTAATGTCAGGGGCAACCCTCCTTCACCCTTCCCCCCCTTCCCCTTCCCCGCCTCACTCCTGGCCCCCTGAAAAGAAAAGAGAGGCAAAACAGCTTTTTCTCCCTTGGAAGTAAGAATTGTATCCCCTCGAATTGGCAGTGAAACCTAAGGAAAACGCTTAATTATTTTTTTATTTTTTTTTAAGGAAGATTATTATAGTACCTGGTGTTTGCCCTAGAGTGAAAGAAAAAGGGAGGAACTTGGGTAAGGAGTTGTATCTCCCCTTGGTGCATTGTTATGGTACCCCTCAAGTTGGAACAATATGCTAAAAGATTAGCATCGCTTTGCACAAGGACGAGACCCACCTACAAATGCACGAAGGCATGTCCAGATTGTGAAGAAAGCAGGGGAAGAGGTAAGAGAAATGGTAATGTTTTTTTTTCCGCTTTTTCCCTCCTTTTGTCTTTTATAGCTACCCTTTTATACGATAATGTTTCTAAGGACCAAGTACAGACAAAAGTGACCACAATTGACATAACTGCAGTCAAGATTTGTGAACAGAAAATCGTAAGAAGCCTTAAACATGTCTCTGACGAAATCCATGTCGTGAATCCGATATAACATCAAGCACCGGCTTCCAGTACAACCTGAAGAAATTGTGGCAGTTTTTAACAATACCCATATGAAAACACAGACTCTGGGCCTCGCTCCACTACTCTCGACATGCACAACAGACAAAAATCATGGCGGTGTATCTTTCCATGTTCTAGCGGCAGATTCACTCTCGTCTTGCACATTTCGAGAGTAGTGGAGCGAGGCCCTTTACGAAATTGTGCCAGTTCCGACAAAACCCAACCCATATGAAAACACAGACTTTAAAAAAATTGTGGCAGTTCTGACAAAAGTCTCAAAAACACAGACTTTAAGAAACTGTGGCAGTTCTGACAAAAGTCTCAAAACCCATATGAAAACACGGACCTGAAGGAATTGTGGCATTTCTGACAGAGTCCACGGTGCGCATTTGATATAAGAACAAGCACTGGCTCCCTGTGCATCATCATAAAAAGAGTCGAATCACTGACCTGAAGAAATCAAAGCAATGAACCACCATAATGTTTCTTATTATGACCCCTAAACAATCATAATGTTTTTTTGGACCCCTGTCTGATTACGATCCAGCAGCGTGCAAGGATGTCACCTGCGAATCGAGGAACGGACATAACACAGACCAGTTGTGCCATAATGCTTCTAGGGACCGCTGTCTGAATTTTATCGTGCAGCGTGCAAGAACGGTGGTACCCATAAATTTGAGGGATTTAGCTATGTTCGGATTGTGAACGACACCAGTAATCGAGGAATGAAATTGTTTCCAGATCTTGTCAATTGAACAAGGGAAAGTGATGATACCCACAAATTGAGGAGTGAAATCGTGTCTAGAATTATGTCTGGGATGTTTCGAAAATGGAATCATATCTATGTAGTCTCCAAAACGAAAGAAAGCAGCGAGTTTGATATCGGAATGATATTATTCATAAAAAAAAATAAGGGAAAGGGATGACACCCACAAGAAAGGAAAGGGACGACACGCACAAATTACAGGGAGGGAGGGATACAAGTACGCGAAAACGGTTGGTTGAAATGGAAGCGTCCGAACCATCAGATGTTACAATGGATGCCTGCTCTCTGTTCAGCAGTGTGCGAGGCCTGGAGCCCTGAATCAAGAAATTGAATCATGTCTATATATTATTAATATCATTAACGAAAACAGGGAAAAGGGAATAGCTTGACAACGTCGTTTCTCTACTGACGATTGTTGGGCAGTCTACTATCGTTGCCAAAGCGCTGACAGAGAGGGGTACCTAGATGCAGGCCATGCATCCAAACACTGCTTTTGTATGCTGGTGCCTCTTTTGACAGAGTTTTTTTTTTTTTTTTTTTTTTTTTTTTTGAATCTTCTTTGTAACTTGTGACTGAGTTCGTTGGCAGTTGGTTCTGAGTTGTGTAAAAAGAAGACTCCAAAAAGAAAAGAGTAAAAGCGAGGGTTTGTCTGCACTGAGTCTTTTCTGTCCAAGGGGGGTGATTATTTCCATGTCTGTTATCCCTTGGGAGCGAGTGTTTTGTGTAAGGTGTCGCATGTGGATGGTTGGCCGGTAGTGGAGTTGTAGACCTACTACCGCCCTATGGAAACCACAACTGCCCCGGCTGCCTTGGATTGTGGCAGTATAACAGGCCTGCCTCAGGTAGGCCTGGGGGGGTTGTAGACTGTACCCCCTGTCATAGATAACAATTGCTGCGGCTGCCTTGGAGGGGTGGTAGATCTTAGCCCCTTACATAAATAATCAACCGCTGCTGCTGCGGCCGCCTCCGATTGTGGTGGTGTACGGGGTGTGCCTCAGGGCGGCCCCGGGGTTGTAGACCGTTCTGCACAAACCACAACTATCAACCGCTGCTGCTGCTGCCTCCGATTGTGGTGGTGTACGGGGGGTGCCTCAGGGCGGTCCTGGGGTTGTAGACCGTTCCGCACAAACCACAACTGCCCTGGGTGGCTTGAACTGTGATTGTGTAAGGGGTGCCGCAGCACTGTCCAGTAGTGGCCCTCAGAAGGCCCGGGGCAATCTCAAGAAAAAGATGTTTTGGCTCCGGTTTCTACCATTGAACTGTAGATCACAATGCCAAGCGGCCGTTGCAAATAAAGGATGACTATTAGTATTTCCTGCCAAGGTGCAGGGTTTGGCAGGGCGGAGTCGGGCAAAACAAAGGTTCGCCAATTCAAACCACTACTGTGGTGCTTCTGAAAAGTTGTGGCATTGCTACAGTGCTGCGGCGTTTCCACTTTTCCACTTGAATGAAGTTATGCCAGTGCCCCAGGCCTGTTCATCCCAGCACAACGCGGCACGCATGCGGCTGCGACTTTCGGAAGTACTGGTGGTCTATGTTTTGGGGGCCCATGGGGGGCTGTGGCAAGTCTCAACATGAAACCTCTAAACTCAGCTTGATTTATGCCAGTCGTCTCTGTGGCTTTTTCCATGGAAATGCCTGAAAGAAAATAAATATTCCAGGGGCTAGTACATCCTGACCTACCTGTCAATCCTAAACCCAAAGGGCCTCTGAAAACAGCAGCATGCATATTTATTTTTCAGACCCTCCTCTTACACTGCACGGCAAAGCCAGGTTTAAATGTTGGGAGGGCTCATCATGTCTCGTCCAGTTCATTTCTAATCCTTTGTGCTCTGCAAACAGCTATTGGGGTGAGAAACATGTGAGAAAAGAAGGGTGTATATGTCCATGATAATTCCTGTGTGTGTGTGTGTGTGTGTGTGTGTGTGTGTGTGTGTGTGTGTGTGTGTGCATGCGTGTGTGTGTGTGTGTGCTCGTGTGTGTGTGTGTTTGTGTGTGCTCGGGTGCATGTTTGTGTGCATGGGTGCGTGTGTGTGCGTGGGTCCGTGTGTGTGCATGGGT